GCGGGGGGGGTGCAACAACAAGGGAGGACGGAGGAGGCGAAGCGAGAAGGGGAGGACAAGACGCGTGGGAACGAAGCAACATAGGGTGGGAGCGCAAGACAGGCGAGGCAGGACGAGCACGGGAGGGACGGTGAGACCAGACGTGCGACGGAGGAGTCGGGTCAGGAGACAGGGGAGGGGACACAGGAGGGGAACGAGGAGGAAGACAGGCCGGGGACAAGTCCGGCGGAGGGAACACAGGGCCGTAGACGGGAAGAGGAGGAGACGGTCGGAGAGGAACAGCCGCAGGGTCAGGGGACGGAAGGCCGAGCAGGCGAAGGGCTGACACTGGCGGGGACTGCTGCTGCGGCGGCACAACGGCGACACCGGGACTGCAAGCGGCTCCGCGGCTCCCACCGGCACACTTCACACCAGCATCCCCAGAGGATCCACCCCCAGGGCGACCGGGACTAGCACCCCCAGAGTCAACGAACGGGTGCTGCGACGGCGGCGGCGGCGGCGGCAGCGACAACGACGGCTGCAGTGGCGGCGGAGGCGGTGGAGGAGGGGACTGGGGAGGGGACGCCGGGGGAGGTGCGGCCGACGAGGACTGCGCAGCAGGGCCACCAGAGTCAGAAGACTCCTCAACCAGGTCCACCGACGGAAGGGGGTGACGTGGGACACACCAGAGGGGGCAGGACGGGGAGGAGGAGGGGGAGGGGCAGGGACTACCGAAGAAGGAGTGACCAGGAACAGGGGGGGGGTAACCGGGGGACCGCGGTGGGGGAAGCGACGGTAGTAGGAGACGGACTCGTCAAAGGTGACGTCGCGAGAGTGAAAGAAGCGGTGAGACGGCGGGTGGTAAAAGTGCCAGTCGGACGCGTCAAGGGGAAAGCCGAGGAAGACGCAGGGAAGGGTGCGGGCAGTGAGCTTGTCCGTGCCGGAGGCACGGACGTGAGCAAGGCAGCCCCAGACGTGGAACGCAGACGTGTCACCAGGAGACCCAGTCCAAAGACGGGTCGGCGAAACTTGCGACTACTGAGGGTGCGGCCACAGGTTAAGCTGGTGAGAAGCGTAGCGCACAGCGAACGGCCACAGAAAATGGGGTGCACCGGCATGGATCATGGAGGTGCGAGCCACCTCCATGACCAAACCGATGCGTCGCTCAGCGACCCCATTCTGCTGTGGGGAGTCCGGTAGGGTGAACGTCTGGGTGATGCCCTCCGCACGACAAAAGCGACCGAGGACACCTGAGGCAAACTCGCCACCACGGTCGGAGTGAAGACGCAAGCCAGGGAGACCGCGGTGGACACGCGCAGAGACAAGCCAGGGGATGAGAGCGCTAGGCACGTCGGCCTTGCGCTCCAGGGGAAAGACTATGGTGTAGCGAGTAAAGTCGTCGACAAGCACGAGGAAGTAGCGCTCTCGACGCGGCCCAGGGACGGGGGCGGGGCCCCAGACGTCCAGGTGCAGGGTCTGCAGCGGCGCGGCGGTAGGGGGAAACGAGGAGGAGTGAGGGGCACGGCGAAGCCGACCCTCGACACAAGGCGTGCAAGGTGGGGCTGGGGAGGAGGGAAACGCGGGGAGAGAACCTGGGAGACCAAGGACAAGATCGTGCTGGGACATGTGACGCAGACGCGGGAGCGCAGGGTGACCTAGGCGGTGGTGCCAAAGGAGAGTCGGGTGAGTGAGGGACCGACAGGAGCAGGCAGCAGCAACCTGGATAGACGCAGCCACCTGAGGGAGCGCTCCAGCCGGGGGGGTCACGGTGTCCAGAGTGAACAGGCCGGACACCAAGTCCCGGGGGAACGTGGACAGGGGGGCACCCGTGGCGGCCTCGGTACAGACAGCATACCGCTCGTGACCAGGGAACGTAGTGGTGACGCCAAGGTCCTGGAGGCAGCCGACACCAACTAGGTTCCTGGAGAACGAGGGGATATGCAGACGTGTGAGAGTGCCCGAAGGAACCGCCGGACAGGGAAGGGTGGTGGAACTGCGGGTGACTACCGGACCGCCGGAGGGGTCAGCAAGAGAAACGGCAGCAGGAACAGGAAGCGGCGTCAGTGTGGTGAAGTCGCGGAAGAAACACCTGGAAGCGCCAGAGTCCAAGGTGAAGGAAAGCGAAGCAGAGGCGTCTGGCGACGGAACGACGGCGGAAGCACCAAGACTACACAAAGCAGGGGATCCTACGCCTGACGTAGCAGGGGAGGCTAAGCTAGGCACACCTACACTAGCCGACAGTGAGTAATAAGCGGGAAGCACACTAGAGTCATCAGCATACATCACATGCAGTGCAGAAACAATGGCATCCATGTCCATGTGAAAAATCTGAATCTTACGACTAAGCAAACTGTGCCAGTCGGGGAGGTCTGGCGACGGGCCGAAGCGCTGACGAAACAGGTCGTCCAGGCGACGAAAACAGCGGGGAGTGGAGTGACCGATCTTACCGCAAACGAAGCCGCGGCGAGGACCGGTCTGGATCTGGTACTGACAACACACGCCTCCAGAACCACCACTCGGCACACCACCACGCGCCCGACCACCACCAGCGTCGGGCCACCCGGGCGGGAGGACGCTCGTCTGCCGCGTCTGCGGCGGCTGCTGCGAAGGCTGCGGCTGCTGCGACTGCGGCGGCTGCTGCGGCTGCTGCTGCTGCTGTGACTGCAGGGGCGGCGGCTCAGCTGGACTAGGCAGGGTCCCCTCGTCCGCTCCAGCACCAGACGACCCGACTCCACCACCACCCCCTCCCGCACCCCCGCCTCCTCCGCCGCGCCCAACCTTGGGGCGGCGGCCCTTCCCCGAACGAAACTGCGCTTCAGCAACAGTCTCAGCCACAGCGGCAGAGCCGTCGGAGAAAGTACACTGAGCGGGGGCACAATCCTGAAAGATAGGGACCGGCACGGTACCGCTCGCCTGGGCGATGGAGCGGTGGCGGGTCTCAATCACAGTCAGGGTGTCTACAAAGTCAGTGAGGGTGAGGTCTGCGGGGTGAATGCTAAGGAAGCGGTCGCGGGCGACAGCAAGGCGGTCAGGGAGGCGGGTGGCAAGCAGGTAAAGGGTAGAGGTAATGGGCGGCTGGTGGGCTCTAAGCTGTGCGTCAGTGCAGGCAGCGCGCCAGGTCTCATCTATCGAGCGCAGGTGGGCAGCGAGGTCAGAGACAGTGGGGAAAGACGCAAGGTCAGGAAAGAGCATCGGGAGGATCAGGCGACCCACCGAGGCAGCCGGAGGGGTGGAATAGCGCTTGATGACAGCATCTAAGTAAGCCTGGGCAGTAGTGAGGGACCTAAAGTGGGGGCGCTCGGACGGGGGAAGGGCATTGCTAATGGCAAGCTGAGCGACAGCATCTTGAGAAAGCCAGACAGAGCGCGCACGGGCAGTGGCAGCAGTAGACTCGCGCTCAGTGGGTGCGGAGTCAGCGGGCAGAACAGCAGGGGGGTCTGGGCAGGGGAGCGTACCGTCAAGGTGTGCGGAAAGCGGTTCACCATCCTGCCGCTGGCCAGTGAGTTGGCGCCGGAGGTCGGCAAGCCACGCCTCGAACTCCAAAGGCTGGCCTTCAGCGTCGAAGCGAAGCTCCGCCGCCATCAGGGGCAGTGCAGGACTGTACAGTGCGGTGCAATGCGGTGCAGTGCAGAGTAGGGCAGTGCAGTGCGGTGCAGGGCGGTGCAAGGCGAGGCAGTGCGATGCAGGGCAGTGCAGGGCGGTGCAGGGCGGTGCTGTGCGGTGCAACGTAGTGCAATGCGATGCGGTGCGGTGCAGTGCGGTACAGTGCGGTGAAAGGTGGTGGAGAACCGTACCAGGGAGAGTGCAGATCGGACGATCGTAGGGCCGGCGAGGAAGGGCCGGAAGTCGGCGCGGGGCCGGCCGGGACAAGCGCGGGAGCCGGCTCGGACGGGCGCGGGACCGGCAGGGACAGGCGCGGGGCCGGCTGGAAGGGGCGCGAGGCCGGCTGGGACAGGCGCGGGGCCGGCTGGGACGGGTGCAGGGGCGGCCTGAACGGGCACGAGGGGCCGGCTGGGAGCGGCACGGGGCCGGCTGGGAGGGGCACGGGGCCGGCTGGGACGGTCGCGGGGCCGGCTGGGACAGTCGCGGGGCCGGCTGGGACGGTCGCGGGGCCGGCTGGGACGGTCGCGGGGCCGGCTGGGACGGTCGCGGGGCCGGCTGGGACGGTCGCGGGGCCGGCTGGGACGGTCGCGGGGCCGGCAGGGACGGTCGCGGGGCCGGCTGGGACGGTCGCGGGGCCGGCTGGGACGGTCGCGGGGCCGGCTGGGACGGTCGCGGGGCCGGCAGGGACGGTCGCGGGGCCGGCTGGGACGGTCGCGGGGCCGGCGCGACGGACTAGGAAGCGCGACAGGCTAGGAAAGGCACGACGGGCTAGGAAAGGCGCGACAGGCTAGGTAAGGCGCGACGGGCTAGGAGTCGCGCGACAGGGCCAGGAGGCACCAACGTGGGGGCCCAGGAGGGGCGTGACGGGTGCTAGGGGGCGCGACGGGCCCAGGGGAGCGTGACGGGGCCCAGGGGGCGCGACGGGGCCCAGGGGGGCGTGACGGGGCCCAGGGGGGCGTGACGGGGCCCAGGGGACGCGACGGGGCCCAGGGGGGGCGCGACGGGCCCAGGGGGGGGCGCGACTGGTCCTAGGTGACGCGACGGGGCCCAGGGGGGCGCGACGGGCCCAGGGGGGGGCGCGACTGGTCCTAGGTGACGCGACGGGGCCTAGGGGGCGCGACGCACGGGGGTAGATCCTAGGGCGGAAGTGTGGGAGGGCGGTGGGACCTACCTACTGCTGATACCATCTCAAAACTGAAGAATGAGTTGAATAGAGAGAGAGTACAAGGGTATATACCTAAGAGTGTTGTACCCTCTAAGAGGCGACCCTATACAGTCTATACAAACATGAGTTATGCTTATGTTTGACACAGTGACATACCGTACAAGGGAATATAACCTGATGAGTTGTACTCCCTAAGGCACAACCCTGTATAGTCTATAGCAACATACAAAGGTATGTTTGACACCTGGTTGTGGTGTTTGGCTGCACGGCTAGGAACAGTTCCTCCTGGACCAGTGGGTGTGCCTGGACCAGTGGGTGCGCGCCCAACAGAAGAAATGCGCCAACTGCCCCCCTTCTGCCTTTCCCCGTCTGTTATTTTTATACATAGTAGCATAGTAAATCATGCTACTGTACAGTGAACAAATTTATTTTCCGGTTTTCGCCCCGTGTGAACCAGTATGCGGGCGGGCCCTTGATGCTCCATGGCAGAACAACGTGGTTCCTGCTGGTAGCATCACTTGGACTTCCACAATATGCTGGTGACATGTACCCAGGATGGATGCAATGCCTTCACAAGCAACACGGGCATAACACTCAGCTCTAATTTCTTCATGAGCGGCCTAGGCAAGACAATAGGAGAGTGGAAATGAGCATGAGTCATGCCCCTGGCCCATGGTGCATCAGCCGGAGCCACAGAGAGCAACGGTGGTGTCTCGAGATGCGGAGCACAACTGGCCATCTGCCGTGAACACCACTGCTGTCACCTGCACGGGCGCATGGTCGCACGCAGATGACACGGGTGCATGGGCGCATGGGCGCATAGGCACATGGGCGCTTGGGCGCATGGGCGCTTGGGCACATGGGAGCTTGGGCGCATGGGCTCTTGGGCGCATGGGCGCATGGGCGCATGGGCGGATGGGCGCATGGGCGCATGGGTGCATGGGCGCATGGGTGCATGGGCGCATGGGTGCATGGGTGCATGGGCGCATGGCCGCATGGCTGCATGGGCGCATCGGTGCGTGGACGCATGGGCGCATAGGTGCATGGGCACATGGGCGCATGGGCGCATGGGTGCATGGGTGCATGGGCGCATGGGCGCATGGGCGCTTGGGCGCTTGGGCGCATGGGTGCATGGGCGCATGGGCGCATCGGTGCATGGGTGCACGGGCGCATGGGTGCATGGGCGCATGGGCGCATGGGCGCATGGGCGCAAGGGCGCATGGGCGCATGCGTGCATGGGTGCATGGAATCGGGGATGGGAGCATGCACACACGAGCAGCAGGACTAATGGTGGGCATGCAAGCATCAAGCTGGGCGAGCAGGGAGGCAGAGGCGGGTGCGCACAGCTGCGGAGTGGTGGTGCAGCACGGCGGCGGGTCTTGGCCTCTCTGGGTCAGAGCAGTCATAGAGGCGCACGCTGCCGTCCCACCCCGCCGAGGCGGCAGCAGCGCCACACGGGTGCACCGCCACGTCTGCCGTGCCGGGGTGCTGCCCCCGCACCCTCTTCGTGGGGACTATTCGGCCCTGCCGCACAGGGGGAGAGGGTTTGGGGGGGTATGGGGAGGTCACGCCGGGAGAGATGGGAGTGGAGGGCAGTTGAGGGCAGGGGGGAAGGAGAAGAGTGGAAAAGGCATGTGGGAGGATGAGATGGGGTTGATGTGGTTAGGTGGGCAGGATGAGAACACGAGGGGGTGAAGGTGAGGGGTGAGGGGTGAGGGGTGAAGGTGAGGGGTGAGCGGGTTGAGGGGGTGAGGGGGTGAGGGTGAGGGCTGCTGTGTGAGGTTGGTGGGCGCAGTACCAAGAGGAGTGAGGGTGGAGCGAGTGCGGGTGACCCGTACCTCTGACAGGGAGAGGCGGAAGAAGACAACGTCCTTATCCGCACCTCCTGACATGCCGTGCGCCGCTGTGCGCCACGCAGCCACGCTCTGCACTGCGGGGGGGGGGGTCATGGGTTGCAGAGGCACAGGCGCACATGCGGAAGGGACGGGCAGATGGCCAAGGCAAGAGGACCCCACGAAATCGGGGCTCGTGGTTTGAAGCCGGGAGCTTCACTACGTGTGGACACGGATGCTACGGCCTTGCTCGCACGGCAGGCTTGTGAGACCCGTGGCTCACCGGGCTCTGAATGCAGGCGCGCCGCAGTGAGCGGGAGGTCGGGCCGCCGCACGTCCCACAGTGCCACCCGTCCGTCCTCGTAGCTGGTGGGTGGGGGGAAGGCGAGAGGTGAGGTGAGGAGAGAGGTGAGAGGTGAGAGGTGAGGGGTGGCAGGGGGTGAGCAGGGGTGTGTGCGATGGATGGACGGATCACAGAGAGGCGTGCAGGCGGCACGGGATTGAGCATCAGCGAGGCGAGAGCGGCAAGGACGGGCGCACCCAGCGAGCAGGAAGAGCGAGGGCGAGACGGCGGGCTTGAGGACGAGGTGCAACGCCATGGGCAGACCTGGGGGGGGACAGGTGGGGGTGGGGCGAGGCAGGGACGAGGAGAGGGAGCAGGCGCACAAGAGTGACAAGAGGTGAAGCAAAACGCACACGATGCTCGACCAGAAGCCGAGGCCAAGCGTTGGCTCTGAAGGGAGCAACGAGGGAGAGGATGGAAGATGGGGAAGGAGCCCAAGGCAAGGCACGCACCGGCAGAGGCAGAGGAGGAGGAGGAGGAGGAGGAGGAGGAGGAGGAGTGCGGCGCAGCATGGGGGAAGCCTTGCGGCGAGCCGATGGAGAGCGCGCGACGCGTGGGGTGGCGGAGGTCCCACAGGGCCACCTGGGGGAGGGGGGAGACGGGGGCACGCTTGCAGTGCATGGCGGGCACAAGCGCAGTGCAGGGGTGCATGGGAAGGCACGGCATGAGTTGCAGGGAAGTGGTGTGGACGTTTCAATGGCAGACTGGCCGTGCTGAATGAGCAGTGCTCACAGTGCAGTTGTCGTCGCACGGGGTCGCCAGCACAGCAGGCAGCTCATAATCATCCAATGCTGCTGCCACCCCCTCCCCTCTCTCTCTGCCCTCGCCTGTCTCCCCCTCTGCCCCCGCCAGCCCTCCTTCCCTGCTGCCATCTGCCCTGCCCCCTCCCACCGCTCCCAGCGCTGCACACAGCAGCCCCGCGGGTCGCCCTCCCACCCCTCCAGCCGCCCCACGCCCTCCGCTCACTCCTCCCCTTCCACCTGCCCCTGCCTGCGCCTCCCCTCCACCTGCCGCCGCGGGGTGGCGCCGCTCCTCTGCTGGGGTGGGCTCACCACAGGCAGCGGCAGGGGCGCAGGAGGGAGTGGGTGGTGGCGGTGACGCACGCAGGTGTGCGTGGGAGCCAGGGGCGAGCGAGGGCAGCGAGGGCAGCGAGGGCAGCAAGGGCAGCGAGGGCAGCGCGGGCAGCGCCATGCGGCAGAAGGTGAAGGCGCCCGTGGGGATGGCGAAGAGGGGCGCAGGGGGCGATGCGCTGCTGCTGCCACACCTGACGCTCTCCATCGCCCAGCACCGCACCACACCGTCCCGACCCTGCCTGCCTGCCCACATAGTCAGAAGTGCAGGGAGGGTGGAGGGGGGTGGAGAAGAAGGGTTTTGGAGGAGAGGGTGGGAGGTGCAGTGATGCATGGTATGGTGAGGGGAGGGAGGCATGTGGCATATGGTATGGTGAGGGGAGAGAGGCACGAGGCATATGGTATGGTGAGGGGAGAGAGGCACGAGGCATATGGTATGGTGAGGGGAGAGAGGCACGAGGCATATGGTAACTGAGACCGAAGGGAAGGAAAACAGGCATGGGGGAGAGGGGGCCATGCTCATGCTTAACACGCATCAAACACAGCATATGCATCAAACACTGCACATGCATCATACACAGCACATGCATCATACACAGCACATGCATCAAACACAGCGAAAAGCTGACAATTTGATACCCTAACAACGCGAGTGCAACCAGTGGAGGGCATTGTGCATTCAGTGGTGACCAATGGGTCATGCTACGGCATCACACAGCATGGACGTTGTGGATGGCATGGATGGCATGGAGGGCATGGATGGCACAGAAAGCACGGCCCCAGGTGGCATACGTGAGCACGGAGTGGGCGAGGGAGGGAGCAGCAGAGGCGGGCGGCACAGCGGCGATGGCGATGATGCCGGCATGCGACCCGTGCAGCCTGGGGTGCGGCGGAAGGAGAGCGGGGTGGGGGACGGTGGGGAGAGGGGCGAGGGGAAGGGCAACGAGGGGGGTACGAGGAGGGCGAGGTGAAAGCAGGCGCTCAAGATAGGGTGAGGAAGACGGAAAACGGTTGAAGGCAGGTAATCAAGGTAGGGGGTGAGGGGAGGAGGAGGGGGAGGTGGTTAGCGAGTGAGGCGAGTGAGGTGAGGGAAGTAGAGTGGGGAAGTGCGGAGGAGAGGTGGCAGTGGGGAGCTGGCTGTCCCTGCCGTGCTGCCTGCCTGCACGCATCGCACCACTTACAGCCCCCACGCACATGCCGCATATCCGCCTCTTCCCCCTAATTTTCCTTTTCCCCCCACATTCCCCCCTTCCAACCCCTCCCACCTTCTTCCCCTTCCCCTCCTTCCCCCGCATCCCCCCCCCACCTGCGCTGCGCCACGGGTCGGTGCGAGGCGAGGTTCCACGCCTTCAGCTCACCCTCCATGTCGCTGCGAGGGGGGGTGAGGGGAGGAGTGAGCGGGGAGTGAGGGGGGAGTGAGGGGGGGAGTGAGGGGGGATTGACGGGAGGAGTGAGGGGGGTGTGAGGGGAGGAGTGAGTGGGGAGTGAGGGGAGGATTGAGGGGGGAGTGACGGGAGGAGTGAGGGGGAAGTGAGGGGAGGATTGAGGGGGGAGTGAGGGGAGGATTGAGGGAGGAGTGAGGGAGGAGTGAGGGGAGGAGTGAGGGGGGAGTGACAGGAGGAGTGACGGGAGGAGCGAGGGGGGAGTGAGGGGGGAGTGAGGGGAGGAGTGAGTGGGGAGTGAGGGGAGGAGAGGGGGGGGAGTGAGGGGCGGAGTGAGGGGAGGAATGAGGGAGGAGTGAGGGGGAGTGAGGGGGGAGTGAGGGGGGAGTGAGGGGAGGAGTGAGGGGGGAGTGATGGGAGGAGTGAGGGGGGAGTGACAGGAGGAGTGAAGGGAGGATTGAGGGGGGAGTGAGGGGGGAGTGAGGGGAGGAGTGAGTGGGGAGTGAGGGGAGGAGAGGGGGGGGAGTGAGGGGCGGAGTGAGGGGAGGAATGAGAGGGGAGTGAGGGGGGAGTGAGGGGGGAGTGAGGGGGGAGTGAGGGGAGGAGTGAGTGGGGAGTGAGGGGGGAGTGGAGGGGGAGTGAGGGGGGAGCGAGGGGGGGGCGAGGGGAGGGCGAAGGGGGGGCGAGGGGGGGACGAGATGGGGGGCGAGGGGTGAGAGTAGAGGCAGGGACGGGGGGAGAAAGGCGAGATGAGGGGGAGAAAGGCGAGATGAGGGGGAGAAAGGCGAGATGAGGGGGAGAAAGGCGAGATGAGGGGGAGAAGGGCGAGATGAGGGGGAGAAAGGCGAGATGAGGGGGAGAAAGGCGAGATGAGGGGGAGAAAGGCGAGATGAGGGGAAGAAAGGCGAGACGGGGGGAGGGGAAAGGCGAGACGGGGGGTGGGCACGGATGATGATGAGGGGATGGGGCGACGGGGCCGTGGCGAGTGGAGAGAGGGCGTTGGCGCGTGGGGGCGGCGGAGGGAGCGTCGAGAGACGTAGGAGGGGAGGCGGTAGAGGGAGGGGGGCCAAGGGCCGTCGAGTGGCGGAGAGGGAGCTGCGGAGGGGAGTGAGCGCGTGGCAGGGAGCTGCGGAGGGGAGTGGCTGGCAGGAGCGAGGACGGACGAAGCGGAATGCGAGGGGGAACGAGGGCGAGGGCGGAGGCGAGGGCGAGGGCGAGGGCGAGGGCGAGGGCGAGGGCGAGGGCGAGGGCGAGGGCGAGAGCAGAGGCGAGGCCAGAGCGCACCCGGAGAGGAGGACGCCGGAGGCGGCGTGCACGCACAGCGCCGTCACCTCCGCGCGATGCCCGCGCAGCCGCGCCTGCTTCCCCCACTGCCGCTTCCACGACCCCATGGCCGCGAATTCACACGCCCCCCCGCAACCGCCGTCGATCCGCGCCTCCTTGGCCCGCGCAAGGCTGTGGCGAGCGGCAGTGGCACGGCAATGACGCCGCCAGTCGTGGCTGCCCGGCCGCTCTCCCAGTGGGCGATCCCGGGGTCGCTGCACTGCCGGGCTCAGCAGCGCCACTCGCAGCGCGATGTGAAAAGAGGCTACAGAGAAAGCGGCTGCCACGCGAATGCGAAGCTGCGTGCTCGCCAAGGCTGTCAGCGACGGATTGGGAACCGAAGCATTCCGCGCCGTGCCCAGCCCCCTGCATGTCGCCTCGCTGAGGCGCACAAAACGGTGGATGTTGCTCTCAAAGCGCTTCGGTATAGCAACATCCGGAGACCGTAACAGGTTAAATCACTTACAGTTCATCACTCCTTACTCACAGTTACAATCCATGTGAAACAATAAGTGCATGGAATGATTGTCTTTCCAATTGTTGGAAATGATAAAAGGACTTGAGGAATTTCCGGAATCTCGCGTGAATGTACAAATACGTGAAGACTACAACAACGATGATTACCGAGTCAACATCGCTACAGTACTACCGACAGTTAACGCCAGGGCCCAAAATAGCCGGGTGAAATACCCTGATTGCCCTGATTTTTCAGGGTCTTTTTCCGGTTGGTCTGAAAAATCAGACTTACGATAACGATTACCCTGATCTAAAAAGTGCTGCGATTCTTTTACCCTGACGAAAACAGGGTTGTGGATCCCCGCACCCTGACCCACCACGATGACATGAAAACTACCCTGGTACCGATCGTCTGAAATTTCGATGAAGCCCCTCGCGACCAGTTACAGACCACCCCCCCCCCCCCCCCCCCCCCCCCTCCCCCCCCTCCCCTGCAACACCGAAAATTCTGCAAACCGGATTTATTTTTTTCGCTAAGTCCTTACAGCCAGAGGCGTCACTCCAGCAGCAGCACGCCCCCTTTCCCAACCCAGAAATGACTAAGGGCGTGTTTCTATTAGGTGTCATCCTGAGAAAGTGTCATCCGAGAATATTGGAAACTCTTTGCTGTTAAATTATATAAGTAATTATATAAGTGTAGGCTTGGTAGATATTACTGAACATTACTGTAGAGGGTACAACACCCCTCTTTGTATCCCTCTCTCTTCTTTCCTAGTTCTCTTTTCTCTCCTCAACTTTCCTAGCACCTAAAACCTCTCGCCATTTCCATGGCTCCTCCTAGCTCCTAGCTAAACCTCATGCCATTTTATGGCTTCCTAGCTAAGCTAATCTTGTGACATGGTAACAGAGCCGGTTCCCTTCCCGGGCCTGCTCCCCTCGCTTCCGCCGCGCACTCCCTCCCCGTCATGCCGCGCTGGCCCCGTCAATTCGCGCTGGCCCCATCGCGTCGCACGGGCTACGCTTCCGCCGCGTACCCGTCCTTACTTCGCCGCCGTCGTGGCCTTCCGTTTGCCTGCCGCCGTGGCACATTTTCCGAGATGCCGCGGCGGCCTCTGTGTGCTGTCGTCTCAGCGTCGACGAGCAGCCGCGGCCCCGACGCCACGCTGTGGTGGCGTCGTAGTGGTGCCGTGGCGGTGTCGTCGGCCTGTTGCCGTCACGCACCACCTGCGTCGCTGCTGGACTAGCAGCCCGCCCGCTCGCTAGTAAGCGCCGCGCCAGCAATGGCGCCGTGCTGAAGATCCGAAGCCCCGCCCCTCCCCCCTTTCCTCAGTCCCCTCCTCTTCGCCACAGCCGCCGTCAAACTCTCGCCGGTCGTTCCCCTGGTGCGGAGTTTGGACACGCCGCCGGAAGGGCGGGGGCCGCTGCCGTCATCGCCGTCGTAAGCCGAAGCCGTCGCCGTTGCCGCTGTCGTCGCCGCAGGCCTGTTGCCGCCGCACGCCCGTCGTCGCCGTCGCTGTCGCCGCTGCCGGGACTGCCGCCATCGCCATCTCCAAGGCCTTGGGGTTGGCCCTGTTGGAGTCGTCGTGGCTGATGGGAATGGGGGTGCTAGGTTAGGGGGTGTGGGGGTGTGTGGGTCCTTCTACTACCAAGCCTAGGGGGTGTGTTAAATTATATAAGTTATTATATAAGTATAGGCTTGGTAGATATTACTGAACATTACTATAGAGGGTACAACACCCCTCCTTGTATCCCTCTCTCTTCTTTCCTAGTTCTCTTTTCTCTCCTCAACTTTCCTAGCACCTAAAACCTCTTGCCATTTCCATGGCTCCTCCTAGCTCCTAGCTAAACCTCATGCCATTTTATGGCTTCCTAGCTAAGCTAGTCTTGTGACATTTGCAACCGTTGAAGTTTCAAATTAACGGTTGTGATGGGTTTCCAACATTCTCGGATGACACTTTCTCGGGATGACACCTACTAGAAACAAGCCCTAAGTCCCATACAAGGGAGATGCCTCCCACACCCCCGCTACCCATTTTTCCCGCTAAGTCCTCCACGCCACAGCAAGACACGTCACACACGCCCCTCCCACACCCAATCACGACCAGGGGCAGTTGTTTTCCCGCCATGCTGCCGCCGTTGAAAACAAGATTCTCCACACGCCCCAAATTTGTTTCTCGTCCCACCCTCCAATCTCACCCTGCACACGCAAACCCGCTACAGTAATGTTAGACGTTTTTTTCCCTCGCGCGCTGCCTAGTTCAACCCTACGGCACATGAACACCCGCTTGCAGCATTCATGCCATATATTTTCATTAATGAAATTAGGTCAAGACAAACCTAGGCAGAGTGACAAACGTTTTACACTAACATTAAAGAACTCGAAAGTTTTTACCCTGTCAAATCAGACTTCAAGATATTTCTACTCTAACCGTCAGATTTTTTTTTATTTTTATTTTTCCTACTCTGATTTCTAAGAGTGGCCTTAAACCAATTTTGGGCCCTAGTTGACATGGGTTGACGACACCCGCAGAGGTTACGAAAGGGCAACGATCGCAAACCCTTGACCGTGCAACCCAACAGTAAGAATCACGAGAGTCAAGAGTCAGCGCGACAATAAGGACAAATAACCGTCCCGATATTACAGTACAGGTGGTTACCCGAGTTGCCTTATCGAGTCATAAAAGGGAATGTACCCCTCAAAGTGCAAAACAGTTAGACTCTTCATGTTCTCTTGTATTATTGTGTAAACCTTGCATCACTTTGCTATAATCAATAACTTGTTCTCACATACGAGTACAAGGGTTCAACTCAAGACTTCCGCTGTGCTATCAAGCACTCTGTTACAATGACTTAGCATTTTGAAAAGATCCTAGGGTTGTTCTCAGCCCAACACGGTATGAGAGCTAGTCAGAAGCTACGCTCCTGTTATAAACTCCCTCAGTGAATTTCTAACTCGTTTGAAGATTCACTTATAACACCTTCAGTTCATCAGTTCCAGATTACAAGGCATGGCACCATCTAAGGGCGATACATCCTCTACTGGATCCCCCTCTGTACCCCCAGTCTCTGGACTACAGACTGAGGCAGTTGCAGGAGCCTCCACGCAACCAGTGGCCTCCTCCTCGGGCATGGACCCGAACCTAATGGAGAGAATATTCTCCTTCATGTCGACCTACGAGCAGCCCTCGACACCTGCTCAATCAGCACACAGCAACAACAACAGTGGAGCAATCCCCATAAGTCTCGATGGTGCATCATACGCAAGAGGCGTACAACCTACACAACATCAATCGTACCAGCCTTCGCAGGCTCGTTCACCTTCCTACCAACTCCCGCGCGGGCAGTGGACTCAACAACTGCTGACAAGCAGTCAGACATCGTCACCATGCAACAGCAGTTCAACAATATTATGAAACTACAGACGTCCTCACCTTTCAACGGGAAGGACTTCTTTGCCTGGAGCTTCGAGTTCGAGTTGCTGATGGAAAGCGCGCAAATCCTCGGCTTCTTTACCGGCTCCTGGCCATTTCCTGTAAACGGGACTACTTAAGATAAAAAAGTCTACACTTATCAGTCGCTGGTGGCATTCACCATTCACTTACGCAACCTGACAGCAACGGAGAAGCAAAGCATCCGAACATACTGCAACTTCGGCAACTCAACAGAACTGGCATATTGCCACCTGAAGAGCGTCTACCAGGCAACTGACAGCGTGACACAGAGCCGATTGATGGCACAACTCACGACAATCCACGTGCAACGAGGAGAAAAAGCAATGCCTTACATCAATCGTTGCCGAGGCTTACATGACAAGCTTCTACGAAGCAGAGGGCACTTATCGGAGGACTCGTTCGTCATGGTAGTTCTTGCTGCCCTCGGTCCACAGTGGCATACAGCGCGTTCCCTCCTATGCGCTCACGGGAGAATCTCCGAGATGCACTTGTGTGCGGAGCTCCACGCCGAGCAGCAAGACATGGACGTGTATGAAGAACGACACGCAAAGAAACCAAGTAAGCAACTCGCGTTCTACACACACGGGCGCAACAACAACAACCGTAATCATCATAAACGACACTCACCTCTGTATTGTCATCGATGCCACACAACCGGACACTCGCGCTTCAACTGCTCGAGGCAGCTATAGCAGGAGTAGTAGCAGCCGCAGTTCTCGCAGTATCAACCCCGAGTGTCACGTCTGTCACCGAATCCGGTCGCTTCAACTCAGCAGCGCCCATCACCTCCGACGAACTGCTTTGCACAAGACGCAAGAAATATCGTCCGTTGCATGGCAAGAACAGATTTTTGCGTACCCGACTCTCTGCCTCATAGCGATCTTGGTGAACAACCCCCCGCTCCGACATAGACCCAGCTCCAACCGAACCCGACTTACGTTGCAATCGCTCGCGACGAACCATCCGACCATGACACATGGTTCCTTGATAGCTGTTTTGGACAGCAAATGTGTTCTTCAACATGCTTCGTCCAGCAAGAGAAGACTTTGAGCTATGAAGTCGTCATCATTGTCGCCAACAACTAGAACCTGCGCACAAGGAAGGAAGGTGTCGTTCAGTTACAGTCAAGCGAGACAAACGTGATACTACAAATGTCACGAGTACTCGTCGTCGACAAGCTTGGATACAATCTCTTAAGCGTCAACCAGCTAATGTCAAAGGGAATTCACCTGGAGTGTGATTGCTTCGATCGAGAATTCTGTCTCTACATGGCAGAGCCATCTAGAAGCATGGAGTCTTTGTCTTGGACTTCGTTCCAGGCCGCGAAACCGCCGACAGCGACGATGTCGTCTCCTTCGCGCTCTGGATGCACCCACCGGATCTTGACCCTGGGTTCGACCGCGATGGCTTCTGGTACTCCAACACCATACCTGAAGCAGAGAGCACACAAGCATTAGCTGTGATGCAAGAAGCTGAAAAACAGGAACAGGAAGCAGAGGAAGCAGAAGCTGAAATACATCACGAAACTGAATCGCCACCGCCGACAATACCACTTCCTGCAAATCTCATTGCCAGGACTTCGTCGGCGCCACCCCTCGAAGAAGCTCCGCCTGAACCAGAACCCGTTGATGAGTCACCACCGACCGATGCCGAGCAGTTGAAGGTGCATCCTCGCGAGCAGCATCGAAGCGCCGTGACCGTCTCTGCCTTCTATGCCAACTCGGACCTGTATCGCTGATCTGTGGGACTCAAAGCAAGCGAGGAGACTTGGCATCAACGGTGAGGGCATCCTGGAAATTCCAGACTGTTCGACACGATCTGTGCCAATGTCCTGGACAAGGATGCAATTCTACTACTCGATGGATGAGAACTTCGACGACCTCGACGTACCTACTTTATCTGCCCGGAAAAAGGATCTTCCTCGCCAACCATTCCCCTCGCATCGCAACCCGAGCACACCAGAGTACGCTCCACTCGAAAAGGTCTACAGCGATATACTGTATATCCCGCGAGAAATCGGCCGGGCCAACCTCAACTATGCCATTACCTTTGTTGATGCTGCAACACGATACACTTGGCATCTTAACCCACCATCATGCGACCTCACTTTCTCCGCCTTTGTCGCCTGGCTTGCTGCAGCAAAACGGGAGGGAGACACGAAGCTGAATGTTTTTAGTCAGACGGGGTGATGGAATACCAGTCATAGCGCTTCAGGGACTACCTCGCTGAGAGAGGAATTAAGAGGCTCGTCACCCTTCCCTACACTCACCTACAAAATGTTGTGTGATGTCATCATATGCTATCACATTCTGTCTGCCTCCCATCCCATGTTTTCAACTTGCATGTGTGGTTTGAATGTGCAAGCATTTGTGTGGTGTGTGTTCTGGAGTTTGGGAATGTGTTCTGTGTTATTTTTGTTTGAGCAGGTATTTGTGATGATAGATCTTGAGAAGATCTTTCCGACGCAACAAGAATCGCTTCAATCGGAGCAAGAACGCGAAAGCTATGAAGATTCAAAGTTCATGAGCTTGCGTTACAATTGCGGCGGTTACTAAGTGAAGTTGTGGGGTGACTTTATATGGAGTTGGGACCTTTGGGGTTGGGGAAACTTGTCACTCTACTGTAACAGCTGCAAATAGGTTGGGAACAACCAAGCTAGGTTGGCAAGGGTGGCCAACTTGGATGGATTGGTTGGGAAGGGACAAAGGTCAAAGTTGAGGTTCCTATAGGGAGGGAATCTTTGTGCTTATGGGGTTTCCTTGGTTGGGGACTCTCTTGGGACCTTCCCTCTCATCCCTCTCTTCCTATCCCAACCTTTCTCTTGCTCCTTCTAATTTCTTGTGAGATTCTTGAACTTTGATTGAACTCTTGAGATTGAGTTAAGTTCTCCTCCTACAGCTTACCCCATAGTGCGTCGAAAGCCATAGCGTCGCGAATACTTCATCAATCAACATGATTCAAAGTGGGAACGGTAGCTGAGATTAAGAGCTACAACATATTCAAGTTTCGCGACATTCCAACGGCTAGGTTTTCGTCGACGTCGTTTCTTGTGAAGACGACTTTTCTGTCCAGAATTTCGGATTTATATTTTGAGTAATTCTAGCTCCTAAGTTCACCTAGACTCCGTCCTTAATCCTAACAAGTGGTATCAGAGCTGTATTAAGGACGTTGAGAGGAGTCTACAGAAGTGTGAAGACCCTTCTAGACCCACCATGGCCTGTGGGTGTGCCTAAGTGGTGTTCTAAAGGTTGGATGTGTCTTCCGCTAAGGGAAACTCTGCCGAAATTTCGTGGACGCCGACACTTGTGAAAATATCGAGGGAGCTGAGTGTGGACAGCAAAGGGGGGCTGAAATTCGTCATTTCTCAAGGAGAAGATGAATGAGAGAGGAGGAGATGCTAATGGAAGAGGAGCTGTAGCTGAGAAGACAAGTGAGCCGCCGCCATCAAAAGTTGAAGCTTTGGATGGCTCCAACTATGAGGAATGGAGCGGACGGATGAGAAGTGCCTTCAAACGCTACAAGCTACTGAAGATTGCTGTTGGGGAAGAGAAGATGCCGGAAGAAGGCGAAGCACGTGAACGGTGGATTGAGAAAAGCGCGGTGCTTTTCGACCTCATCCTTCAATCGGTCAACAAGGAGATGTTCGAGCACATCAAGGATCTTGTGGAAGCGGATGATTCGGGTCCAAGGGCGTGGAAACTACTACGCGATGTGATTCAGCCCAACACTCTCCTGATGGTGATCGTGCTCGAGAAGGAACTTGCTGCCATCTCCATGCGACCAGGGGACGATGTGAAGCCGGTCCTTGACAAGATCAAGGACACCTATGCAAGGATGGCAGCAGCGGGCAGCAGTGTATCTCAGCTGCAGCAGTGCACCAAGATCATCTCGGTGTTGGACAACTCGTGGGATAACCTCATCCCCACCCTCAACTCTCAGCAAGATCAATGGACACCTGAGTGGCTAAGGCAGCAGATTCTGCAGGAGGACTTCCGCAGACGCCATGTGGGAGGCGGTGCTGCCACTAAGACTGCTGAGGGGTATGGAGCTGCAGGGCGCGGCAGAGGAAGAGGGGGTTGGAAAGGCCGAGGCCGTGGGAGGAGCTTTGGCAGAGGTAGAGGCCGAGGTGACTATAATGAGGGGCATGGAAGCTCCAGTGGCAGGGGGAGTATCAGAATGGAGGGCACCTGCTGGTACTGCAAGAAGATAGGGCATCCTTGGTTCAAGTGCTTCAGCAGGCCGGAGGGATGGGCACCTCCAGGCATGAAGCCGCCCAGTGGTGAACGCGCACAAGGTGGCGCTGTGCAAGGCTCAGGTGCACAAGGTGAAGGTGCACAAGGTAATGCCTATCCTGGTTTGTTTCTTATGGTTGAGGATGTGCATGGACATGAGGGTGATGTGGGATCTGTGGGAAAGGTTGTGATGCACCCTCTCACGCACTGGGTGATTGATTCGGGTTGCACCAGTCACATGACCCCACGGGCAGATTTGCTTGATGAGGTAAAACCCCCTGGGAAGATTAAGTATGTGGCAGCAGCATCAGGTGCTTTGCTCCCTGTGATTGGTGTTGGAAATGCCAAGGTTAAGGGAGCTAATGGGGAGCTTGTGGGGCTTGGGAATGTTCTGCTAGTTGAAGGTTTGTCTGCTAACCTTCTCTCTGTGCGACGACTGCAGAAGAGCAAGGCCGAAGTGACCTTTGGACCAACCAGCTGCCGTGCTAAGCTTGGGAAGAAGGTGCTGTGGAGTCTGGAAGAGGAGACCAGCTGCATCAAGGACCTGTGGCAGCTGCCCATCATCCCTTGGAATGGGAAGACTCCAACAGCAGCAACGGCAGCAGCGGCAAAGGCAACAGCAGGAGGAGATGCAACTGCACCAACTGATGGGGTCCTGGAAGCAGTCAAGAAAGTGCAGAAGCAGCAGACACATGGTGAGGTGCTTGCTGGTGTGGATGCGAGTGCGGCATGGGCTAAGGCTTCATCAAGGAGTGGAGAGGCCGATTGGGAGACATGGCATGAGAGGTTGTGTCATGTGAACTTCCCTATGCTGCAGAAGTTGGTGAAGAATGGGAGCCTGAAGGGCTTGGAGGTGAAAGGGGAAGTGAAGGAGATTGGGAGCTGCCCTACATGCTTGGAGACCAAGTTCTCCAAGTTCCCCTTCAACAGTGCAACAGGACCAGCCAAGACCCCACTTGCACTTGTGCACATGGATGTGGTGGGGCCCACCAGAGCCCCTTCCCTCTCAGGCAGCCGCTATTTCTTGACAATTGTGGATGACCACACTCGGGCAGTGTGGGTTTACCCTTTGAACAGCAAGGGGGAGGTGGCAGCGGCTGTCCTTAAGGAGTGGATGCCTAGAGCTCAGAGGGAATGCGGACACAAGGTGAAGGTGATCCGCAGTGACAATGGTGGGGAGTTCATTGGAGCTGATTTTGAGGGGGAGTTGAAGAGGAAGGGGATCCAGCATCAACTGACAGTGCCCTACAATCCGCAGCAGAATGGCGTGGCTGAGAGGTTCAACAGGACCCTGCAGGAGGGGGCACGCACTCTCCTTGGGCGTGCAGGGCTACCTGATCCGTTTTGGGTGTCTGCACTGAGGCAGGTCGCCCTTGTGAAGAATAGAGTGCTGGCTACAGTTGGGGATAAGGAGTGGATCCCATATACCAAGTGGTATGGGAGTGCTCCAGCTGTGAATATGCTGAGGGCATTTGGGTGCATGGTAGTGTTTCATGTGCCTAAGGAGAAAAGAGGGAAGTTGGAGGCTTCTGGAAGATGGGGTGTGCACTTGGGGATTGCAAAGGATCACAAGGGATGGCTTCTATGGGACTTGACCATCCAGAAGCTGACAGTGTCAAGGGATGTGAAGTTTCTTGAGTCCCTGTACTATAAGGAATGGAAGCAGCAGCAACAGAAGCTTCCATCTACACCACTCATTGTGGAGGCAGATGAGTTGCAGCAGCCTTCAAGGCAGGTGGAGGTTGCAGTGTCTGAGGAGGAGATATCTGGGGTGACTGAAGAAGGGGGAGCAGCTGAAGTGGAGCAGCAACAGCAACATGAGTCTCCACCTCGAGTTCCACAGCCGCCTGAGCGACCTAGGAGGGATGTGCGCCCTCCTGTGAGGCTGACCTATGGGGGAAGAGGCAAGCCAAATGTGGTGCAGGCTGGGAGTGTGGTTGAGCAGATTGAGGAAGATGAGATCGCTCACTGCTACTGGGCACCAATCCCTGAGCCCAAGACTCGAGAGGAGGCCTTGAATGGACCAAATGGGGAGAAGTGGAAGGCGAGTGAGGATGAGGAGTTCGGGTCCCTGATTGAAAACGAGACATGGGACCTGTGTGACTTGCCTCCTGGGAAGAAGGCAATCACTTCCAAGATGATCTACAGGCACAAGTATGGACCTGAAGGGGAGCTGACCCGCTACAAGTCTAGGCTTGTGGCAAGGGGGTTTCAGCAGACAAAAGGGAAGGACTATGATGAGGTGTTTGCTCCTGTGGGGAAAGGAACAACACTGAGGGTGCTGTTGGCGATAGCTGCACTCCTGGGATGGAAGATACGGCAGATGGACATTGTGACTGCCTTTCTGAATGGGATCATTCTGGAGGAGGTGTATATGAAGCAGCCAGAGGGGCTGGATGATGGGAGCGGCAGGGTCTGCAGGCTGAAGAAGGCCATCTATGGCCTTAAGCAGGCGCCTCGTGCATGGTATCACAAGTTGGAGGAGGCGCTGTTGGCTGGGGGTTTCAAGAAGAGTGAGTGTGACCCCAGCCTGTTCCTGCTGCAGGAGAAGGATGAAATCCTCATGCTCTTGGTGTACGTGGATGATATCCTTCTCTTTTCTGCATCAACTGCTTTGCTGGACAGCGCAGAGCAGATGCTAGAGATGCAGTTCAAGTGTTCCAAGATGGGTGAGGTGAAGTACTACTTGGGGATGCATGTGGAGAGAGATGTGGAGAAGGGTGTGCTGAGGTTGCACCAGAGGAAGTACTGTGAGGGGCTGGCTGAGAAGTATGGGCTGCAAGATGGGGGAAAGCCAGCAACACCACTACCTTCAGGGTTTACTGTGGAGCCATGTGCTGATGAGGAGGTAGTGGGTGAGAGTGACAGGAAGCTGTTTCATTCGATGGTTGGGTCGCTGAATTATGCTGCAAATCATACACGGCCTGACATTGCATTTTCTACATCACGGTTGGCTAGTGTGGTCTCACGCCCTAGTCATGAGCAGCTGGAAGCGGCCAAGAGGTTGGTCCGCTATGTGAGTGCTACGGCATCAGTGGGATTGGAGTACAGTGGAGTGAGGCAGCGGTTGCAGAGAGGTGCTGCAGATGTGAAGAGTGGAGAGATGCTCTTGAGTTGCTATACTGACGCTAGCTTCAACTCAGTGAAAGCGGATGGCACCAGCATTGGGGGATATGTGTGCTTGCTAGGAGGTGGTGCTGTGAGCTGGCGCAGCAAGAAGCAGAATGAGGTGGGATTGTCCTCATGTGAGACTGAGTACATGGCCTTACACCATGGGGCCAAGGAAGTGGTGTGGCTGAGGCGCTTGTTGGAGGAGTTGGGAGTTGGTCAGGAGAAGCCGACAGTTGTGTTTTGTGACAATGAGTCCGCTGTGAAGCTCGCCAAGAATGCTTGTCTGCATGGGCTGACAAAACACATAAGGCCTAAGTGGCATTGGGTGAGGAGACTCCTTGATAAGGAGGTGCGGCTGGAGATAGTGAAGACCCATCAGCAGGCAGCAGATATTTTCACCAAGCGTCTGGCGGAGGCGGATCATTGGAAGGGCATGAAGCTTGCTGGGATGAGTGTGCATTGAGTATGCATGCTTGAGATGTGGTATGGTGGATGATGGTTGGCAGCCAGAGGGGGAGATTGTTGTGTGATGTCATCATATGCTATCACATTCTGTCTGCCTCCCATCCCATGTTTTCAACTTGCATGTGTGGTTTGAATGTGCAAGCATTTGTGTGGTGTGTGTTCTGGAGTTTGGGAATGTGTTCTGTGTTATTTTTGTTTGAGCAGGTATTTGTGATGATAGATCTTGAGAAGATCTTTCCGACGCAACAAGAATCGCTTCAATCGGAGCAAGAACGCGAAAGCTATGAAGATTCAAAGTTCATGAGCTTGCGTTACAATTGCGGCGGTTACTAAGTGAAGTTGTGGGGTGACTTTATATGGAGTTGGGACCTTTGGGGTTGGGGAAACTTGTCACTCTACTGTAACAGCTGCAAATAGGTTGGGAACAACCAAGCTAGGTTGGCAAGGGTGGCCAACTTGGATGGATTGGTTGGGAAGGGACAAAGGTCAAAGTTGAGGTTCCTATAGGGAGGGAATCTTTGTGCTTATGGGGTTTCCTTGGTTGGGGACTCTCTTGGGACCTTCCCTCTCATCCCTCTCTTCCTATCCCAACCTTTCTCTTGCTCCTTCTAATTTCTTGTGAGATTCTTGAACTTTGATTGAACTCTTGAGATTGAGTTAAGTTCTCCTCCTACAGCTTACCCCATAGTGCGTCGAAAGCCATAGCGTCGCGAATACTTCATCAATCAACATGATTCAAAGTGGGAACGGTAGCTGAGATTAAGAGCTACAACATATTCAAGTTTCGCGACATTCCAACGGCTAGGTTTTTGTCGACGTCGTTTCTTGTGAAGACGACTTTTCTGTCCAGAATTTCGGATTTATATTTTGAGTAATTCTAGCTCCTAAGTTCACCTAGACTCCGTCCTTAATCCTAACACAAAATGGTGTAGCAGAAAGGATGAACTGAACCCTCTGGAACACCATGCGAAAACTGTTGACTGGGATGCGACTACCCAACTCGTAGTGGCCGGAGGCGATGAATCACGCCATCATGCTACAGAATCTTCTGTCGTCGACTTCCCTGCCAAACAATGTATCACCGTATCCGCTGTAGACAGAGAAGCAGGGCAGCACAAAATTATTACGAGTGTTCGGCTGCATGGTACAGTACCGTGCGCACACTGCAAGAGTTGGACGATTTTCGCAGCGGGCAAGATGGGGTATAGACCTCGGTGTAGAAAGACATTACAAAGCCTAAAAAATCTTCGACGTGGAAGATAAGGAAACAATCCCGGCACGTGACCTCATTTTCTACGAGAACCTGATCCTCAACCATTGCCTGGAGAACATCGTAGCCAATCGCGATCCATCCAGTGGCTTTGCTCGAGCACGCGGGTTCGCTTCGACCGAAGAAGAAGCTGACCTGGAGGAGCAGAACGCCCCCGACGCGTCAGCAACTGCAGGACCATTTCCCTACTGCTTTGTCGGCATGTAGATGGGCGAAGACAATCCTCACGAAAGCGCGAATGCTGAAGGATACTACCACTTCGCCGACACTGGTTACGGAACACCCCAGAGCGTCGACATCAACGTTTTAGAACGGGTAGGACCAGGTTTCGTACCTGATCTTGAGGTGGGAGACGAGGCTGATTAACCCAAGGATCCAACACTCCCCCGCTACACCGAGACTGGTCTGCAAATCCTCGGCCTCGCAGCAGCCGTGCACCCTCCGCAGCCACCGCCGGTCGAAGAGCTAAAGACTGTCAAGCACGCACTGCAAGGATCACACAGGGAGAAATGGAGGGAGGCAATGGATCGGGAATTAGCGGCACTGCACGAACGAAACATGTGGAAACTGATCCCAATTTCTCAGACCAAGGGAAGGACGGTCCTATCCGGGAAATGGGACTTCCGCATCAAGACCAAGGGAGATGGGACTATCAAACGCTTCAAGGCACGATGAGTGGTTCGCGGATTCGACTAGCAGTAGGGCAACGACTACACTGAGACATTCGCTCCTGTCAGCCGCTACAGTTCGACTCGAATTCTTCTCACGGTCAGAAAAAATCCGAAAACACACCATTCCAAGGGGAGTCGGGCCGGCGAGGAGCCCTTAAAACCATCGGAGTGCCGTTCAAGGGGGTGCCGGTGGACAGAGGACCCCTTTTAGTTCGTGCCGGGGCGATGTGACTATAATGAAGGGTAGTGTAGCTTGGGGGCCATCCGATAGTGAGCGCCCAACTGAAGCAGCATGGTACGATCATACCTTGGCTACTACGCCGGATCCCATAAGAACTCCGAAACTAAGGGCCCGTGGGAGAGAGTAGTACTGGGCAGGGTGACCTCCCGGGAAGTCCTCGTGTCGTACCCATTTCTGCCAGCTACCCTGCGAGGGGCGGATAGGGGAAAAAAGAAAGGACATTTTTTGCGCCAGACTGCCCAGGGCCGGCCTGGAAAACATTAAAAAACACACCATTTCGAGGGGAGTCGGGCCAGCGAGGAGACCTTAAAACCATCGGAGCGCAGAAATATCTGCTCCTGCTGCAGTGCCACGGAGAGGCGCGTAGTGAGGCTCGTCTCAAATATCCGCGCCGACCCGCCTTCCGCTGCCCCTGAATCTCTCCTCCACCATGCTGTCGGCGACAAACACAGCCCTAGGAACTGCCGCAGTGGCTCACTCAGGCACCAAAAAGTCTCCACGACGCAGGCGTAGAATTTAGGATCCGGTTGCAACCCCTGTTACACCGGCCTCCATTGTCGCAGCTTATCCTGCACCCGCCTAGCTGCTGCACCGCCAATCTGAGTGGGTGCCATCCACCTGAAATGCGCATTCCCCTCCCGGTGTGGGTCTGCCACCGAGACGTCTACAATCACCATCAAAGCATCTCGCGGCGCCCTGCAAGTGAGGTCGGGAATGCGGGCGGGTGCCCCTATGCGGCCTTTGCGAGCAGCTGGCATCTGCTGTTGCTGCGCGGGCTGCTGCTCTGTATGGTCCCCTGATGCCCCCCTCTGGTCGTAGAGGTCCCCCTCCCAACTCCCCCTCTCACCCTCCCTCTCCTCCCTCCCGCTCTCCCCTCCCCCACTCCCCCTGCCACCCCCGCCCCTTCCGCCATCTCCTCTCTTACTCCCGCCCTCCGTCTGTCCTATACCCCCATCCCCTACCGACCCCTCTAGGCCACCCTCGCCTGTCCTCCCCACCGCGTGAGCCTCTCCTAACGCCTCATGCGCGAAGTGCACCCGCCTCGGTGGTGCCCTGCCCAAGAGCCCGTCCCCTGTCCCCTGCTGCTATCCCGCCTGGGCCCCCTGCTGCGGCTCTGCCTGAGCTCCCTGCGGCTACTGTACCTGCCCCTCGCCCCCCGTGCTCCGCTGCTGCCCCTCTCCGCTACCATGCCACTGCTGCTGCTGCTCCTCCTCCCGCCGGCTATCCCCCGCGCCCTGCTGCTGCTGCTGATCCTCCCTGCGGGGCCGCCACTGCTGCCCCTCCTGCTCATCCTCCGCCCCCTGCATCTCTCCCTCCTGACCCGCCTACCTCTCCCCCCCTCCTGTCCGTCCTGCCCGCTCCTGCCCCTGCCCCTTCCCCGCGTGTAAAACCTGCAGTCGAGCTCGCGCCGCCTCCAGGTGCGGAATGAGCGCCGTGTCCTCCACCAGGACAGCGAAGCCAGCCTCGTCTGCGAAGTCATGAAGCATGTACTTCACTGTATCGTGGATGGTCTTGGCGACCGCGAAGCATGCGCACCTCACCGCGTGATGCGGCACCGACATGTCGGCGATCTCCTCTCCGCACGAGCACTGACCTGCCAGGACTAACTGGGGAATGGGGAGACCGAAACGAAAGCATGAAGCCACCTGCCACTGCACCTCCGGAATGCGCAGGGAGTCCGCGTAGGGTACCGCCGTAAGCCAAGCTCCCGCATGTTATAATCACAATAGGCTTAGATGTGCCTATAATGAGAGATAGAGAGCATAGTCGGATTTCCGTCAGACGGCTTCAAATATTGATAAAGATCTGGTCACTAAATGAAACGGTGATCTGTAAGTTGGATCTGGAGCGCGTTGCTGTCGTCTATCAGCAGCAAGTTGAATCATGAAATTCCATGAAGATTTGACGACGCTATGGCGGTTTGACTAGCATGAGGTATAGCAGCCACTATAGTCTTAGGAGTACAAACTTAGCAAGAAGAGTTAGAGAGGGAGATGGTTCCCAGCCTCTACATACCCCAAGAGCCGAGGTCCAGGTTGGTGGTACACCACCACAGAGTCCCCAACCATGAAGAGTCTCGAAACCAACCCTCCAAGGGGCTACATCAAGTGAAATGTAACACTACACGAAGTAACGTTACTATTTTCACTATTTAATATTTATCCGCGTCCCTTGGGCTTGAAATCTTGAGCTCTTGTTCTTGGATCTGCAAGATAAATTCTTCTTGAGTTGACGGGGGCTTGCTGCACACACCTGCGACACGATGGACACTTCACACTCGACAAAATAGAAAAACACATGCGACACACAAACGACGACTTGACATGCGATTTGTAGAAACTCGCTAATGTCTTGACCGACACAAACCACATTGTGGGACACCATTCAAACACACACACAAGCACTAGATAGCAATGACATAGACTCACAAGTCATTCGATGCAATGCATGCACACACACAAACAAGGACGACAAGCCGAGTGCAAGCCATAGGGTTGCACCAACAAACTCCCCCTCGGATTGTTGGCCTTAGAATCTGCTCCCCTTAGTTCAGAGCCATCCCAGCAAGCTTGCAACACTTCCAATGTTGCTGCTCAACCAGCCTCTTGGTCATCATATCAGCTGGCTGCGCCGTCGTCTTCACGTAGTGCAACTCCACTTCACCCGCGGTTACCATGCTCCTCACCCAATGCCACTTCACCTTCATGTGCTTGGTAAGGCCATGAAGAACCGGGTTCTTAGCCAATGCAATAGCACCTTGGCTATCACAGTAGAGTGGGGTAGGTCCTTGCTTCTCCTCCCCCAATTCAGCTAGCAAACGACGCTGCCACACAACCTCCCTTATGGCACGAAAGAGTGCCATGTACTCGGACTCCACCGAGCTCAATGCTTGGTCCACTTGCTTCTTGCTCTCCCAAGCTGTTGGCCCTCCACCAACACAGCAGATGAAACCTCCCACACTTGTCATGTCCTTTGGTTCTGATGCCCAAGATGCATCAGAGAAGGCGGTGAGAAAGAGCCTCCCGGGTTCGACTCCATCCGCACCCTTTTGACGCCTTTGTGCCGCCGCGGAGTATTGCAGTCCAACAGTTGCTGTTTGGCCAAGGTACTTGGCCACCCTCTCTCCAGCAGCTACCTGCTCTTCATTGGGGCATTGGACATCCCTAGCCAGCTGCCCGGTAGCAAAGGCTGCATCCAGCCTTGTGTGAACGGCCGTATACATGAGGCTGCCCACCAAGGAGTGAAAACGGCGCCTCTCCTCTTCACCAACACTTTCCTCCGCTGGTCCTTTCACACACTTGAACCCCAAGGGAAGAGGAGTAGCCACATGACCTTCACTCTTCCCAAAGTTTGCAGCCAAGGCCTCCAAGTACTTCTTTTGATGGACTCGCATCCACCGCTTCTCCACATCTCGCTCAATGTGAAGCCCAAGGTAGTAGTTGACGTCACCAAGGGTCTTGCACTTGAACTTGTCTTGA